TCAAATAAATCATGGTTGTACGGCAATGAAGCATCAGTGTTGAACACTGATGTCATGCTGTCGATGACGACGACGATGACGATGATGACGAAGAAGAAGTAAGTGAACACACCGCATATTTGAGATTAGACTTAAGGATAGACAACCAGGAAACTCCAATCTGAGATTTTGGGCAGCGGGTCAATTAAGCCCACCGCAGGTTGGCGGAGTTGTACCTATTCGGACGACAGTGAAGTTGATTTAGAACTCCATGAACGAGAGATTCAGCTGGGTTCCAGGTGAGTCTCCATCGAGACCAAGTTGGTATGGAAATGGATGTGTTTATCGAAATCCGTCCAATTTGGGCCCACGTTGTCGGAAATTCTAGGACTGTACCTACCTGATGAGCTCTAACAAAAACGGAAACGATCGTGGTCTTTCCTTGGGTAATCAGCAACCTTATGTATCGCGATATCTCGAATATCTTACGAACTGAGGCTCCTTCAGTTGCTTAAGAAATCACAAACGAGGGATTCAGCTGTGTCCCAGGCAAGACTCCCGTTGAAACCAAGTTGGTATGCAAATGCATGTGTTTATCGACAGTAAAGTCTGTCTAATGCATCCCAGATTTTATATACATGCACACCCAGAGGACATACACAATGAGTCACTTTGACGTGCGCCAACGGTACGCCAACGACGGTACGCCAACCACGCTCTGTGCACCTCAAATTCACTACAAGCAAATTCAAAGTCCACAAATTCTCACCGATTATTGCTGACAGATTTCCGGTAAACGCATCGCGGAGTACTAGTTTAGTGATTTATACTACTGATAAAAATCCGGGAATAATATCCGGTCAAGTGTTCAAGTGACTTCGGCGCATTGGATGGAAGGTTAATATGGAAACTTTTGAGCAGTTTTACAGTGTTTGCTCACCATTATTCACCATTCAGACACCATTCGAGATTTATCAACAGGACGCTTGAAGATGTTGATTTTTCAATGTTTCCAAGCAGATGGGAATTTTAATTGCGTGTAGTGAGTAGGACGGAATCGATTCATCCGGCTTTCATGGGCATTTTTCTTTGAGAATTCTGGAAACAGTTGCGCGATTCGTTATTTGGTCTCTAGAGTATAGAGGTTGCCTTTGTTCGATTAGACAAGGGAGGCGTCACCTGAATGGTCAATTCAGCTCAACTTCGGACTCCCCGGTGCGTGCTGGAACTCGCACATAACGAATGAGAAAGCTGGTTTTCGGTAGATTTTGAGCTTGTCAACAGATTCACACTTGACTAAGAGTTGTCCTTTCAATCAATAGAAAGGTAATCGTTCGGCTGTAGCATTTCGTTGGCCGATCGCTGCCATGGCACCCGAAAAAAATTCGAGGGCTCAGGTACTACTGGACTTCCAAAACCTGGACGGGGGCGGTGCTGATGCCTGGTTTGGCTCCAAACGAAGTACTTTTCGACCAGTGAGTTGAGGCCTTCACCAGTGAGCCATTTAAAACTCGAACTTTTGAGGGAGCGCTCGCTCACCTATCCTGATGAGAAATCTCAAGCGATAATAACGGGGAAATTGTCTGATTTTTCCCATCTCATCTAACGAACATGAAATGACAAGTTGAACTCTGCAATGACAGCTTCTCGGAGAATGCTGTGGTGTAGGAACTTATAGAGAGCGCCTACAATACAGATCGAGCCGACTATAGCCTTGTCTGGACTCGCATTCATCACTCGAACAAATTGATCAGGCCAGCCTTGATGTTACTGTAAGTGTTTACTCCAAATCTGAGGGTGAATAAGTGCACTCTATTTAAGACGATAGTCACCAGTGAACACTGAATTCAGTGACGTAAGTAGTCTGTCACAAGGCACAATTTGCACATCACCGAAACTATTCACACACGGGATGACACCATTTCGAACGGTCCGATCAACCACCGAATGGGTCACATGCGCGATGAAGAAATGAACGTAAAATCGATATTGGAAAGTCGATATTAGAAATTCTAACCGAAAAAACCGTACACAACCGAGTCACGTGAACCAGTCACGTTGGGCACAGCCCTTGCTCAGATCGTTTTGTGAACAAAAGTCCTGCCTTGATTATGCAGTCAACAACGTTTGAAGATAGGCAACCGTTGTGCTTTTCAGTTAGAAATCGCATTTCGAGTTTTCAAAAGGGATTTTTACGCTCGTCTATTCGCTGTGACATGAACTGAGGCTAGGGACAGCGTTTAAGAGATGGGCATCCCGTGACACAAAATACTTTCATATATGACTATTCAGGTTCCTAAAGTTCATCATAGACCAATGAGTTCAAGACGTTTTGAACGGTTTTCTGTCTGTTCAAAGCTCAAGATAGCTTTCAGGATAACTGGTTCCTGGAATCATATCCCTCCACCATATGGGAGTTCCACAGAATGAAGATGTCCGCAAATTGGTGAGATGCAATACAGGAACAGCCATTGAACGCTCAGAAACATAGATGTGGAACACTCCATAAAACCGTCAAAAATACGTCAAAGACGTTTCATCAGTAATCTCTCCACTTCAGGTTGAATTATGAACTAATTTTCTAGTGAAGCTTCGCAGGACCTGTTTTTTCGCTAAGAGGACATACCAGCGTGCTTTGCTTGCCTTAACACAGTTTTTGGTAGGAAAATCTCTTCGGGCACCAACAATTACACATCGCTTCGCGCAGTTAACGAAGCAAGCAGTTTCGTGGGGGTATCATTCACTGATCATGTTTCAGTTGAGTTTTACG